TGTACTCTTCATCCAGCTGCGTGTGCGTGTGTGCGCTGCGTGTGTTTGTTAAAGCTGCACAATACGCATCCAAACGCTAATTTCTCCAGTACTAGACTAGCAAATACTTCGTGGCATGCATAATCACACTACCTTATGACAAAATAAACTCTAGTTCCTCCCATTTCACTGCGCATTGTCTTATAAAAGGTATTTGAAAATACCTCCAATGTTGTTCAAATTTTCCGATGTTGTTGACAGTTTCCCCAATCCCCAAGCAACCGTGCAGCGGTGCTGCGGTACGGGTGTAGCAAAGATAAAAACATGTCACCACTTCGAGGCTATATTGTTTGGCAAACAGTCGGCGTTTGAGCCAGAATGCCAGTTTTCTCACCTATTTCTTGTGGGTTTTAAGCAAACGCTCAGTGAAATGGGAGCAACTAGAGTTTATTTTGTCATAAGGTAGTGTGATTATGCATGACACAAAGTATTTGCTAGTCTAGTACTGGAGAAATTAGCGTTTGGATGCGCATTGTGCGGCTTTAAGTTAAGGAGAGAATGTTCCCCCTTCTTTTACACCTCTTGACCTTTGACCTTTGACCCCCAGCTTCGACATCTCAACTCGTTTTCGGATTACCCCCCCACGTCCCAAATATCGTGACCATACATCGAGCGGTTAAGATTTGTGCCCAACTGTTGACGGACGCTCGCACGGACGGACGGACGATTATGCGATTCTACAAGCTGCATCTGACTACGTCAGATGAGCTAAAAATAAACGCTGCGCTGGTAAAATATCTGAACTACTTCACCCGCGGAGGAATGATGTGTATGAATCGTTATGAGTAAACTGACGCTCCAGCCGATTGTAGCTTTTCGCACGTGTTTTGCATAGCAACCGTTAGCTCTAGTAACTATAGCCCACGCACAGTTGCCGCTGGCGCTGCCTGAGGCGATCCCTGCCGTGCCTTCTTCGAGTTGCTGTGGTAGCCTTTGTATGCGAATTTACCGCTTGGCCTCGCCACACGACGATAAATAACGTGAAAACCATGTCGTGCAAAAGTATGATTTATGTCAAAACAAAGGAAGCTACGCGGTTTGTAATACTACCGGAAGATAGAATAAGGACCAGTGAACAAAAGAAGCTCATGTTTGTATACATTTGTATTTTTATTCACATCGAACTCGTACAACAAAAATGTAGTGAAATCAGTACCAAAGAGGTGTCTTACTCACAGGCACTTGAAGCGTTTCAATAAAATATAATGCTAAATAAATACGAAATCTATTTACTACCAAATTCTTAATGTTTCTATACTCTCTTTGACCTATTATTGCGTTGAAGTTTTAATTTCCATAAATGGTCCATGTTAAAATTGCATTGACTCCCGAAATATATCGCGAAGGGATCAT